TTTTTCGGCGTACCCCCGGTATTTTTTTCATAATAACACCTTTTACATGTCCCTTTGACAAGCGTTAATAAAGGTATTCGCTCTTGACATACGTTGCAAAGATTATAACGTATATTCTCCATTTTTATGCGGAAATCCTGCAACATACTGATTTCTTCTTCGCTCATGGTGGTGGCTGAATTCCGTGTAGGATGAGAGTCGGAATCCGTGTTATCACTTTCCACGTAAGCTTCCTCTATTTCTCGTCCTTCATGATCTTGTCGTGTTTGTTGGTTGATGTTTCTTCCTTTTAATACATTTCGGTTTTTTAATTTACGGGTTCGTTTACGCGCAGCTTGTCTACGTTGGTTTTCCCATTTTTCCGATTTTCCCGATCACTGTTAGTTTCCGTCATCTTTTTCCTTTTTCTTCCTTCCCGAATACTTTGAAGACGCTCCTCATGTTGTTGTTCTGTTTCCCTTGCTCTTTTTTGCCATTTTAATTCTCGTTCTCGTGCAAGACGTTTTGATCGCTGTTCATTTGTCTCTTGTTTTTTTTTGTTTCGTTTTCGTATAGTTTCTGGATTAGTGGAATCATTCATTTTTATATTTTTATTTTATATTTTTTTCTCAGATGAGCCTCTTGATGTTCCGGTGTCTTGGATTTTTTTTTGTCCTTATCAAAATACCTGTATTAGTAAAATTTATTCATCTTATTTAGTTTTTATCTTTTATTTTATAGTGAGAAAATAAAAATTAGTGTGTGATTTTATTGTTATTTGGGACATTGTGATTTTGTGGCTTTGACGTTCAAATTGTTCTGTTCTAATTGTTCTTTATTTATTAAAATATGATTGTTTCATACATTAATTGATTTATTTTATCACTAGCCAACACAATTATCTAATTATTTCAACTAAATTTATTATTATTTTCTACCCTATGCTGTATTCAGATAAATTATATTTTAATTAAACTTTTCTCGATACATTGATTCCCCCTTTGACTGTGACATTTCTTAGCTAATTATCCTCTCAGCGTCTAGATAATTACAAATCACGTGACGAGCTCCGGACTACGTAACGGTTTACCGTTTCCCTAGTTATTTATAACTTTATAATTTGAAATACTTCATAATCTTCTATTGAAAAATTATCTTCTGTATCGCTTATCTTTTTTTCATAATAATTTTGTTTACAATAAATATCATCATAATCTCTATTTTTATTTCCATATAAATAAAGATCCCAACCAAATGATGGTCCACGATATTGGCCATAATTTAATGCATACTTCATTTCTTTTACATTACTTAGAATTCCATCTTTAAAAAGACCATTCTTATATTTAAAAGAAAATATAAAACTATCTTTGGTTTCACACCAATAATTATGACTATATTTAGTTTCCCATATAATAGGATTATATCCACCAAGAATTTCATCTGTTCCATTTACTTTAATGAATGTAACGGTTTTGGGTTTATTATCACATAAAGAATGAAACTTATCAGGAGTGAATCCATCTCGGCTTCCTCTTAATAATAATTTGAATTCATATGGTAAATATAATTCTCTTGTATAAACTAATTTGCAATCACTATTCACTTTATCGATCCATTTTGAAATTTGAGAAATAATATTTAAATTGACAATTTTGGAATCGAACTTTCCATTTCTAGGAGGTAGAAAATTATTACTTGGTTCACTTTCAAAATCTAAATAATATTTTATTAAATCTTCATATAATTGATGCTTTAATAATTTTTTATATGGACGAACTTTTTCTAAGAAATCCTTAGAAGATAAACTATAAAATCTAATTAAAGGTAAACAATATTGTAAAGAATTTTCCATTGTTTTGAAATCATCATCTGTCCAAGTATCAGGATCAGGAGTAAGCGTAGGATTTTGTGCAAGTCCCCATTTTAATACATGTTCCCAAACTTCGATTTCTTTCATTCGTAAATCATCTCTTTTAAGAAGTGAAACTAAAGATTTTTCTGGAAGTGAGGTAAAATCAAGTGATTCAAAAATTTTGTCAGGTGATTTAGCCATAAATTCTGTACAAAATTTTTGTAGTTCTAATAAATTATTGGATTGAAAGCTTGTTCGATGAATAAGTTCAAAATGTTTTTCCAACCAATCCGCTTTATTTT